AAGACGAAAGTACTAATTTATGCACTTTCAATACCCCTTTTGGGAGATACAAATACTTACGACTCCCATTTGGAATCTCCAGTGCCCCAGAGATTTATCATAGAACCATTAACTCTTTGTTTAGTCACTTAGAAGGCGTAGATACTTCTATGGATGACATCATCATTTATGGATCAACCCCACAAGAACATGATCAAAGGTTGGAAGCAACAATGAAAGTTGTGAATAAAGTTGGACTGAAACTTCAAAAATCAAAATGCGAAGTGGGTGTACAACAGTTGACTTACCTGGGGGACAAAATTTCGGCTGAGGGATTGAAACCCGATCAGAGAAAAGTTGAGGCAATCCAGAACATGGAAAGACCTGGAAACAAAACAGACCTCCAGAGATTCCTAGGTATGATTAATTATCTTGCTAGTTACATACCAGATTTATCCACTAGAACAATGCCATTAAGAAAGTTGTTAGACCAGAAGGTGTTGTGGATGTGGAACAATGAGCAAGAGAAACCATGGAAAGAATTGAAGGAACTTGTTTCAAGCGAACCTGTGTTAAAGTTCTACGATCCAAACAAGCCCATAAAGATTTCAACCGATGCAAGTAGGAGTGGCTTAGGCGCAGTACTGCAGCAGCTACATGGTGAAAATTGGCTTCCAGTAGCATATGCATCGAGGTCAGTTACAGATTGTGAGAGCAGATATGCAACAATTGAACTTGAGACACTAGGCATGACATTTTCTTGTGAAAGATTCCACCACTACATATACGGTCAAGAATTCGAAATAGAGACAGACCACAAACCATTAGTGTCAATTTTCAAAAAATCACTAATTGATAGCCCGCCACGAATACAGCGGTTGAGATTACGATTACAGAAATATGATTTCAAACTTTCGTACGTTCCTGGTAAGTGGATGCATACACCAGATGCATTATCCAGAGCACCCCTGAAGCTGGCAAGTAAGTCAGACCACCATATTGAAGCTCATGTTGATGGAATCATAGCAGTGCTACAAGTCACAGATGAGAAACTAAAAGAGATTAAAGAGGAAACCCAAAAGGACAAAACAATGATATCACTTCAAAATACTATCATGCAAGGTTGGCCCAATGAAAGATCCAATACTTCTAACGAACTTCATGCTTATTGGAACATTAGAGATGAATTATCGGTACACCAAGGGCTGATACTAAAAGGTTCAAAGATTGTAATTCCAACAAAGATGAGAAAAGAAATCCTAATAAAAATTCATGCTGGTCATCAGGGCAGAGAGAAATGCAAGCAACGTGCCAGACAAGTAGTATTCTGGCCTGGAATCAACAGTGACATTGATAACATAGTTGAGAGTTGCGAGACATGCCAACATCATCAGCATAACCACCAGAAAGAACCATTAAAGCCATATCCAGTTCCAACCCGTCCCTGGCAAGTGGTCGGCACAGATCTCTGTGAAATCAACAATAAAGAATATCTTGTCATTGTGGATGCATATTCCAGCTATCCGGAAGTGATACCTCTATCAAGCCAAAGCAGTAAAGCTGTGATTAAAGGTATGAAAGTAACTTTCGCCAGACATGGCATTCCTGATATTGTTCACAGTGACAATGGACCATGTTACAGTAGTCAAGAGTTTGCTGATTTCAAGACCAAATGGGGATTTAAACATGTTACCAGTAGTCATCATTTCCCGTCCTCTAATGGGTTAGTCGAGAAGGCTGTCCAGACAGTAAAGAATATTATAAGCAAATCAATTGAAAGCGGAACAGACCCGTATCTCGGACTGTTAGCATATAGATCAACACCACTTGACAACCATAAGTCACCAGCTGAGTTACTGATGGGAAGAACACTTTAAACAGATCTTCCAGTTGTAGAAAACCAGCTCAATGTTAAAGATTCCAAAGCAGTTGTTGCATGGAAAACAAAGAAAAAAGAAATCCAGAAGGCTTATGACAGAAGGCTCATGACAGAGAAGCCAAACCTGCCACCACTGAAGCAAGGTGAGATGGTGAGAATCTACGACCAAAAGAAGTTGATGTGGGGAGAAAAGGCAACGGTGAAAGAAAAGATTGCACCTCGTTCGTACATAGTGGAAACCAAGGACAAAGTTCAATACAGACGAAACAAGAAACAATTGAGAAAAATTACCTCGGAAGTCCAAGACGGAAATGATAAAAATGTAAGCACAACGAAACGAGCGGAGAAACAAGTTGAGACAAAGTCGTTACCCTCGAATGAAGTATCAAGAGACAGATCAAGATATGGTAGAACAATAAAGAAACCTCGTAGATATGAACAATACACTTAACAGATAAGTAAAGCATGTTAGGACTTAAGAAGAACTTAGTAGTTGTTATAAGACTTCAATTTTAAAGTTGACTTTATCTCATGAGAGTAGACGGTGTTCAAACTGTTGATTAATATTAACTTTCTTATTGTATGCGGAATGTAAGGATATCACGTGACTCATGCATGCGAGCACATGGGACGTCGAAGGAACGTTGAACAAGGACTGAGTATAGTTGAGTTATCAAGTAAAGTTAAATGTAGTTTATACGTCATAAGATAAATAAAATATATAACATTACAGTGTAGTTGCCCTGCACTCTGTTCAGTGTACAGCTCTGTCAGATTTGTATTATGTTTGATTTTAAAATCTTATTTGCTATTATATTTATCATAATAAGTGATGAAAGCAGGGAAGCTTGTAAAAGTTAGGGGGGACGACTCCCACGAGGCGCCACCATGGTTGGCGCCGAGGCTCTCCCGGCTTCCTACACCCCTGGATGAAAGTAGATATGGGTTTTTGTTTGGTGGCCCATCCGTAGACATACAGAATAATATCATGATTGCGGGTATTCCCTTTGTTCTCGCAGGGCAATTAATAACTAATACAACGCGGGCACGATTAGAAAAAATGAATATATCGGAAATCGCCAAAACTAAACAAAGACATGGAAAACAATTATACCATTTAATTTATACCATTATTTATTGTTAATTGGTTTTTAATGGCCCTGCGAGAACAACGGGAATACCCCCGCAATCTTTCGGCCCGAGGGAATTTTACTAAATGACCCTCATCGAGCGGCGCCCAAGGGAATTTTACTAAACGACCCTCATCGGGCGGGACGTTTTAATAGCTAATTCGCCTCTTTTTATGCTATTACTTATAATAATTGGCGGCCCATCGAAATTGTCCAAAGATTTTCCATGGCCCATCCCAAATCACTCCGGCCCACCCTAGCAGTTACTTTATGACCGGTCCCTTATGACGTCATGGTACGTTAGTTCGATATGATCTAACGCCGACCAATAAAAGTTGACTTCGGTTGGAAAATATGGCTCTTATCTTTTTTAATGGAAAAGTCTTTGCCTTAAATAAAACTAACAAAACTTAAATAGTTGAGTGGAATTTTCAAGCTGTTAGCGTTGTATAATGTGATATAACAAAGCCAGGAAAACTTTGCCAGTGGAATGTTCGCTATAAACGTAAGTTAAAACTACAATTGTCTCAACTATTTTTGTGTAAATTATTAATAAGTAATAGCGTGAAATTTGGATAAACATGCACTCGTGAGTTTTTCAAAGACCTCAAATAGCACTCGTCCTTCGGCTATTTTGAGGTCTTTGAAAAAGCATGTTATATCCAAAATGCACTCGAAACCGTCCTATTAGCTATACCAATAATAGGACAATATTTGCATGCCAAATATATGTCAATTTCTATTATAATTATGTGGATAATATTTGGGTTGCTCGGATGACACAGTATTAGTGTATTATATTCGTGGAAAATTCTGGCTGAAACAATCAACAAATCATCTAATGTTTATCTTCTTGAATCAGGCATTTTCTAGTATAACATTGAAAATATGCCGCACAGAAAATATACCGCAGTGGCTTAAGAATGATAAAAATATGTATATAGTCAAGGCGAGTGGTGCCTAAATTACTTTGAATATGCACTCGAGTAAAAGTAGAAGTAACTAACAAAAAAAAACGACTTAAGTAAGAGTAAAAAGTACTGGAGGCAAAACGTACTTAAGTAAAAAGTGCAAACTATCCTTAAAAAATACTTGAAGTAAAAAGTAGAAGTAAAAATTGTCTTATTGTACAAATTAATGAGGGGGACTCTCCAATGGATTGACATAATACAAAAGACACAAAACAGCACACGCATTATATGCGCGCACCTATAATATACACTATTTTACGGCATGGTCTACTTTGCAGACTCCATTGAAGATATAAGAAATCCATTAAATAATGATAACGCTTATAAGTAAGCCACAAACGGGAGAACTCAGACGCATGTAGAGGTCCTATTACTTATCCCAAAATTAAAATAAATCCCGAATAAATCACGTAAAATTAAACAAAAGTTAGAAAGTAACGAACTATACTTCCCACAAAATGAAAATAACGAAGTAAAACGTTACTTCTTAAAACGAATTCGTCCCAAGTAAAAGTACTCCAGAAAAAGTTTACTTTGTTACATGCCGACTTCACAAAAATAGTACTCAAGCGCAGTAATGAATTACATTTACTTCGTTATTTGACACCACTGAGTCACACTGTCATTTCAAATTGAAGTAATCAACAAATATTTACCAGTTTATACCACCATTACCAGTTACCTTATGGCTTATCCGAAGGAAATGGCCATATTTTAGATAAACACCAATGTTTCTCTATTAAATCTGAAATTCTATTCTTTGTACCCAATAGTGATAATTCTTCACTTGCTTTTATATCAAATGCTTGTAATTTGTCGCCATGTTGTTTAAGGACCTTTAAGGTTAGCACTATTCTCCAATCTAGCAAACCTGCACCCAATTGCTTTTTAGGCCGTATTGTGGCACGATATCGTTCAATTTCGTTGCCCGGGTTCGGGCACTACTTTGAAACAAGATAAAATATAATTAGGATAAATCATACGAAGTCCAAATCCGTTAGTTTGCACTTTCCCAAAACCTGCAGTTTTCGAGTATTTCTTCTGCGAAAATTCAAGAAATCAACATCTTTCGCAATCACTTGCAGCTAGCGACAGGAATTGCGGCAACCACTCATTGGTCAATAAATATAGCTCTTATGATCTTTGTTATTACGTAATTTAAATTAATTTTGAGAACTGCTGTCTCAAATGCTTTAATTGATAAAATTATGGCGGGAAACAGCGTAGCGTTCTCACATTTATTAAGGAAATTTCTTTAAACTGACGAAATTTGCACCCCTCTAAGGATGTTTTTAACCCTTCTTCGTTTGCGCATGATTAAACCAGATTTGAAAATACCACTGTTCGATTCAGTGAAACAAAATCTCCTACTAAATTCCTACCGATAGTTTTTGTTAAATGTCAACATTATTGCGATTTATGACCTTTGAGAGGTCAAGCGATATAATATTTCATTAAATTAGACAATTTTTCCCGAACAATGTAAATAAGGTATTACTTAAAACTGTGGCAATTGATACACCAGGCGGAAATCTTAGTTTAAAGTTTTCAAACTATGTAACCGTTTTTGTAATATTAAACCATTATTTTGTAAATATATATATACCATACCCTGTAAATTCATTTAGATTGCTCTGAAGATGTTGTATTGTAAACAACGAAACGTTAGCTAATTAAAATTTTACTTTTATTATGTTTGGTTTTAAAATTATTTGCTGGGCTCTGCTCTTTATCTTTAAATTAAGGTATTACTTAATTTAATGTCTAAGCCATAGCGTGCATGTGGCACGCGCGTGCGAGTAAAAACCCGATATTTTGAAAAATTCAAAATAAATATTCTACACGCAGTATTCAAACGAAACTTTCTACATGAAAGCGCTTGCATGTCTTGCATACAAGGAGCATTTTACTCCTATTGACTTGGGGCGAATTCTGAACAGCTTAGAAGATATTCAAGGTTTTTTTCGATATCGTCCCTCAAGCGATAAAACTGATATCGCCTCGCCCCTCATTGAAAGTATCGAACATGCAAATTTCTCTTATCATCGATGTTGTTACTCGGCATTCACAAATAGCAGTATGATTAAACGGGCTCAAGTGCGTTGTTAGAATATAAACAAAGAAGATATACTTTCATCCTCTATAGTATCGATATTATTGATGACGAAACGGCTGATGAAACTCCACCTGTAAAGCTAGAAAATGCTGAGATCTACGCTGAGTTCGCCTACGAGTGCGGCAGCTCCAGACTGCATTGTTTGCAAAACGCGCGCCGGAGTTTTGAAACTGTCAATTGTAATGCGCGCTTGCAATTTGTTTTCATCCTACAATCTTGGCCATAAACCGTAGGACGACTATAAATTTTTAAGCATTTTTAAGGCCTCCCCCCTCCCCCCCCCCCCATTCAATGTT